TTCATCCCTTCTATCACATTTTGCTTGCTTTTGACAAGCATAGTGAAGCAAAGCAAAGCTCTCGGCAATGCAGATGGGAATCTGGAGTCGGGCTCAGGCATGACATGCTGGCATCAAGGGAAAAAAGAAAACAAAAACAAGGTACATAAAATGGCGTCGAAGTCGAACTCTGTTGAATGGGGCGCTCGAGCCGTCCCTTGCGCCGTCAAACGAGGCAGTGAAGTTTGCTCATGTCTGGCCCAGGGTCAAAGTGGGAAGTGGAGATGGAATGTGGATGGGTGGGTGGATGTGGGCTGTGGGCATCTGGAAAGCCCTTGACGCTCGACGCTCAACGCTCGACGCTCAACGCTCCCCGAGCCTTTAACTTTCTCAAGTGATTGGCAGTTGGCAGCTGGCAGCGGGCAGTTGGCGATTGGCAGCCAAGAGTCAGGCACCATCTGATATCAATTAGTATTCAAGGTCGCCACCAACAGCCCGGTGCCGCATTGTCCAACAAGCGAGACTGGACGGACAACGGCGCATCGATGTATCGACGCATCGACGCATCGACGCATCCAAGCATCCATGCGCCAATCCGCCCCCGGTGCCTGGCCGGCTCCCCCAGGCACACGACATTGAACAGTCCAACAAGGGGTTTGGGCGCTTCCCTACTCCGTATTCTGATCGTGGTGCTCAGCTTGTCATCTTCCCCCTTGCGTGGTTGGCTCCAGTTCATCCTTCTTTAGGCTTTAGGCATTCCAATCCCTCTCGACTCTACACTCTGTACTCCGTATACTCCTCCGTAACCTGCATCCGCACTCTGTGTATTGTGTATTTACCTGCCAGCAAATATACCAATCAAGGCCTTGACCTTGCTCTCCGTCGGTCAGCAACTCTTCTGCCCTGGTGTTTCTATTCTGGCTGGGCCATTCGTCGACCTACCAGCTGCCAGCCTCCTCCGTCCAGACCACACTCGCTCGATTGATTTGTTTGAGACAGAGACCGACCCAGGCCAACGAGCTGATCCCGATTGCCATTGGGGTTTGCTGCGGTGCCGTGGCCTGCATCTGTGGCTGCCTTGTACTACCCGCGGCATCCAGTCGAGTCAACTCTTCTTCTCTGCCCCCAGTCGACGACTGCGAACCGCTATCTTGCACACATCAACCACGCGGCAGACTGCAGACACACATTTGCTACGGAGTACGGAGTACACGAGCACGAAACACCCGTGATCCTGGTCCGAGATCCCGCTTTCAGCTGTCATCAAATTATGCTGCGGCGGATGAATTGAACCCACGCCGTCGTACGCTGGCCACCGCCTCAACGCCCATTTTTTGGTGCTCGAACAAAGCAGCATTCGGCATGCTTGGGCACTTTCAACCTTTGCCACCGCATATGACGTTTTAAGCATTTGTCGACCTTCTAAACCTACACACCTATATCCTGTCACTACTCCGTACATGTGCATGCTGCAGACAACACACACAGCAGATCAACCTTTCTCGAACCCTCCGCAGAGCCTCTCTGCAACTACATTGTGCCATTGCCGCCCTTCATACTACATACTGGACTGGAACTTGATCTACCTAGTTTGGAATCTTTGGGCGCTTTGGGAAGCGGGACATCCAATAACTGTACCATATCCGGGTACGAGATTAAACAACTTTGTTTCTTTTTCTTGTTCCAGAGCTTTATCAACCATGGATGGAGCTCAATCACAAGCTCGTCAGCGAGCTCACCCGCGCGCGCCATCGCGTTCTTCAATCCACACAAGTACCTCACGTACTACCCCCGTCAGCCCAAACAGCTCGACATCACAAATAGCTATCTCGCCGCAGCTTTCCCAATCCCACCCAATGCATCGATATCACCACAGTCGGTGCGGCACGGGTTCGCCCCAACCCATGTCGCGACCGACACCTCCTCTCTCCAGGCAAGAGAGTATGGAATCTACTCGACAAATCGCCCTTTCCTCGTTCTTGCAGGAAAAGCTACAGAAGGAACGCAGGGCTGAAAGTGAGAAGCTTAATCAGTCACAATCGTCGCTACCCAGATCAAATCCGGATATGACTGTATCAGCTGACCTCGGGCGAGCACCGAGTTCCCCTTTCAAGACAAGCATGGAGGGAAACAGACCACAATCAAGCACTGGCACTGATCAGGGCAAGAAGAAAGGTCTGGGTGTCAAGGAAATGGGAAAGGTAGCTGATGTCATTAAAATGGCGCTGCAGGTCTGGCTTGCTAATTTCACGTGCATGCATAGGTGATATCTAACTTGCATAAGCAAAATTTCGACTTGAAACTCGAACTTTACCACAGGCGCGAGAGGCAGACTACACTAGAGGAGCGGGTCGACGCTATGGAAAGCGATAAACAACGCATGGAGGAAGTCAACGACAAATTACTGATTGAGCTAGAGAAGCGCGACAAAGCTGTCGAGGAGGCGGTTGCGATGATTGTCACCTTGGAGGCAAAGGTGGACCAATTATTTCGGGAGCGAGTCATGGTGCAGCGAATTGAGAATGAAGGCTTCTTTTGTCCCCGCGACTATGACAACATGGGCTATAAAACTCTTGTCCCCCATTGTACGGGTCCTGACATTGTGAGGATGGAAGAGGATGCCAAGGTTGTCAATCGCATGCCGAGCTTCTTGTCTGACCAGAGTGAGACGACGCAAAATCTTCGCAATGTGTATCTGGGGACCAAAGCGAGCATGCTGAGTATGACGCGGGTAACCGAAGGCTCTCCCGAGGCTGATAATGTGCAAGCATTGGGGAGCCCGACCCTCAGTGTGCTGAGCGAGAGCTCTTTTGTGAGTGTTTACGGCCGAAAGGACAAGGTCATAGCCGACCAGATCGCTGCTGATGTTGATGAGACTTTGGTTCTAGACGGTGCGGACTCAAGTTGTACCAAGGAAGCCAATGGCGAGCAACCATCGCGCAACCACTCTCGATCGGTGTCTTCGAGTAAGAGAGCAGACTCCCGTGCTAGTTTCGGGGGGCACTTCCAACCCATTACAGATGTCATCGCCGGCTCACCTCTGCAACGCCTGGAACAACTCGACATGTCGTATGGAGCTAAAAGGGAATCATTCCAGCACCCTCGAAGTCAAATAAAAGATTATTCAAAAGGCCAGCTGCTGTCCGACAAGAAAGAATTTAGTTTAAAAAGTGTTAGACAAGATAAACGCGATACTCTGCGTGGAGTAACCACTGACGGACAAGGCGGTGTACGACTGCATGATCAAGCGCTCCCTCCCACGCCGGATACAACATCGAGCTCGATGCTCCGCAGGTTTAAGAACTCCAATGACACGCTCTCACAACAAGACCTAAATGAAGAGAGCAGCAATGGCGTTGCATTAAATCACCTTGGTGTTCAAGGCGGCAGCCACCGGCATGATCAGTTGGCGGCCTTCCCGAACGTCCCCGCAGAAGAAGCAGACAGTTGGGCTTCACCTAGTGAAGGAGCTATTGACTTGCTTTTCGAACACCGAGGGCCTCCTATTCCTCGCCCACGATCCGCAGACGAATCTTCCGCATCTCATAGGAGAGGCAAGGGTTGGGACAGCGACGATGACGATTCAGACGCACACTCGCTTCAATCGAGCCTTGATATCTGGATGCGCGAGAGCGCACAACCTTCGAGAATTAGAAGCCGTGCATCACCAGATCTATTTAGCTTCCCTACGGACTCATCGAAGGGAGGCTGGGCAATGCCATCCACGTTCAAACAAGACAGTGATCTGGCTGATAATGCGCCACTGCCACCTGGATTTGACTATATGCGCGATCTATTTTCTGTGAGGCAAGGCCTTTTTGCCGGTACTGCACCGCCACCTCCCAACAGAAGGTCTAGCCTACATGCACGAACTGGGTCAACATCGGAACCAGCGACATCGCAAGGGGCAAATAATCAAGGGATTGATCAGGTTCCTCCTTCCACCGCACGTCGTCGAAGCTACCACAGCCGGCAGAATAGCGTAGACTTGGGAAAGAGAGATGATATGAGAACACCGGTTCAGAGAGACCAATTTGCGTCACCGCCTCAACCTAGTAGCGACCAGAAACCGAAGCATTATCCTCCAATAGCGGGGCAGCAGCATGGAGCTCGAACTGGTCTCAACAGACTTTTCCGACGATCTACGGGTGGTGCTCCGCCTGGATCAGGCTCTGAACAATCCAACTCTGTGGAATCAGCCGTCTCTGAACCATGCAAGAATTTGTCTTCAATGGGCGTCCCATCGTGGGCAAGTCGACATTCCGCGGCGGAAGACGACAGGTCGGGGGCCACTCCCCCACCGATTATGCTCAACCCTCGTCAAGGCCGGCGTCACACAATGGGGGAAGAAGGGGAGACAGAGAAGTCACCAGCACAGGAACTCAGCCGCAGCTTGACGCCTGGCCCAACGCTTGCGGCCGCCGTTACAGCCAGTGTTCCATTGACGGATATAGAAAACAGTCCAGCAGCAGCGGCGGCGTCTTCGGGTACTGGCGCTCGAAGAAGATGGTTACCTGGCTTTGCACGCACAAATAACTTGAAAAACAAGGCAGGTTAGAGACTGTGTAGAGTTGGTGGTGGGAAGCTCTGGGGGCAACTTCCGTGTAACAACAATATTCATAGCGAGGCAGCATGGGACACACACTTGTAACAGAGAGGACTGCATCATATTTAGGCACTGAGGATGTTTGGGTTAGGAATCAAGGTCAGTCTGGACACCGCATTTGCTATGGAAAGCATCCGCGTTTGTCAAGTACCTTGCGGGGTTCTGACATGATAGAATGGAAGAAACCAATAAAAGATACCCCAAGTTTACCACAGACTCGTTCCAGATGTACTTTGGTTATGCTAGAGCTGTCATACTGCACAAAAGTACAGGAGCACTCTGATGCTCAATGTCACAGCTTGGTTGTCCATGCACGGCATATACAATAATATCTTCAACCCGAAACACCCAAAACCTCGACCCAGGCTCCAATCACCAGCCCTGACCAATCGTCCATCTTGTCACATATTCCGCATCAAATCCAATCCCACTGCGCTTGAAGTCTTCCAATCCCAGTGTCACCGATGACCTTCCGGAAAGCCGCAGGCGACAGGTCCAAGTCGTTAGGTCCGCAGCTCATGCATTTATCAACAGCCTCGACCTCGATTGTCCTCCCTCGATATCCAGCGCGAGGTCTGTGTCCACACTTATCCTCGTTCGCTATCAACTCTTTTGCAAGGGCCGCAACTAGGTCGGCCTCTCCATATTTCTCGCCGCAAGCACCTAGGTCTGGATCATGGTACGTGACCTTTCCACTCTTGAGGCCACGAGTGAGAAGCCGGTTGGTGGTGTCGTTTTCGACGGGGGCGGCGGCAATGAGGTGAAGGTGTGCTCTATTTTCTCCGAGGGAGCTGAAGCTGAAGTGCAGTGAAGTGAAGACTGAAGCTGGTAGTTTTCCTATTAATGAGGAGATCATACGGACAGGAGTTGAACATGATCTTGTTATACTCTTACTGTCGTGTAGTTTATGCCGGTGCTGCGCTGTGCATTGTGCAAGGCCGCCTGGGCCATTTGCGGCGGCAGTCGAATCGTCTCGGGGTGTCTAGTTTGTGGGCGATGAAAGTTGACACGCTTGAGAATAGCCGCCTGTAGGGAAAGAATGGAACATGGTTTCTGGGCAAAGGGGTTGCGTGTCGAATCGTTGGTGCTGGCTGAAAGGGAAATCGCGCGATCCGCAAGCTTGTCTTGGTGGTGCGATGCTCCTTGGTATCAATGGACAGGACGGAGCTTTACCCTGGGCGGTTCTTAGGGGGCAAGCTTGTCTTTTATACGGGCTCGGCAAACAGTCTATCTTGGAGGAGGGCCGTCTTTGTGTGAGCTTGACTACCTAGCTTTGCGCGCGAAGTGCGTGGCTTTGACGACTGGCTGCTATGAGGATACTTGAGGATTCACGTGGGGGCTCTCAGATGATTCTTCTATGCCTTAAAGAGCTGCATCTATGGTAGGTGGAAGTGGAATCTGAATGTACCGATATGGGACGGTTTCCGCCCGACTAAAGGAATAGTCTCAGTCCCGCCTGTGAATCACGACACACTAGAACTGGTAATCTGGTCCTTTCTATACCCCAGTTCCTGCAATACCCCAGGTCTCCTCCCATCGCCAACCAAGGCCTTGTCCATGCTCGGCGGCCCGCAAACAAACACCATTGTCTCCTTTTCCTCCGGCTTTCCCTCCGGCGAGGGAGTGACTTCTCTCAATAACTCCTTGGTCACATGGCCCTTCTTGTATGGCGATCCTTGAACTTCTTCTCCCACTCCTCGAATTCCTTCTTAAGCAGGACATCCCGGTCGCTGTTGACGCCGAAAACCAGAGTCACGGCAAACTTGTCCTGGGGATTGCGCAAAACGGCCTGCGTTAGCTGGTAGATTGGCGTGATGCCGGCTCCGCCAGCAACGAGAGTGACATGAGGGAAGGAGTTGGGTTTCCATTGGTGGCCCTTGATGGAGGCGACGAAGAAGAGGGACTGGCCCGGCTGAAGGTTATGTAGACGGGTGCTGGATCTGCCGTCGGGGTAGTGCTTGACCATGAGGTCGAGGTGACCTTGTTCGTCTTGTGATGCTCGCGTCAATCTTGGTAAACCTCTGGCAGTGGGAGTCGTGCAGCGTGGTACATACCGGTTGAACTGATGGGGGTATACGGCCTTGCGACTGGGAAAAATCTTTCCCCTGGCCACGACAGGGCCAGTATTGACGCCATGTTTATCGTTGGCACTTGCTACGCATTCGTGTTTCAAGAGGGGAGGCCGGTTCTGTCCCTCACAATTCACAGGTAATCCGCTGACAGCCTCTTTATCTGCAAACTTGAACCTCAGCAGCCGCGTGTCGTGGTTCACCATGTCTGCGCTCTCCAGCAGCAGCGAAACGAAAGCTGGTCCGCCGTCGAAGACCTTTGGCGGAGACGCTCGCGAGTCGGCGCGAGTATCTTGGATGAGAGACTTGGTGGTGATGCCGACGGCAAGGGATCCGGCAGCAATTGTACCCCGAATGGCTGCGGGCCGCGAGCGACTGAGGATCCGCGTTGTCATTTTTTTGTTCCCCTTGTGTTATTAGATGGCCCTTGATATTGCAAATCAGCAAGGCGATTTGTGTAGGGCTGACCATCTTTATATAGACAGTACGGGGTTGGGACGGAAGACATCCCGAGACGGCGCGGCATTGCTCATCAGCAGCAAGGGGTCCATGACTTGCACGAATTTGCATTTCGGAAAAGGCCCCGTCCAACGGGCCTGATCAAGGCTCATGCGGCGTTAATATCGTTCCACTTTCATGGTTTCGCTCTCTCGTGTCGGCGGCTGACCTCACCCTTTGGACATGGAAGAGTCTGTGACGGGCCCGAAGAGCTGAGTTGTCGCCGAGGGTGCGAGCCAGATGGCCCATGTGCACTTACAAGGCGGATAGAGCATAGAGTAACAACTACTTACTGTTCAAGCATAATTCAAGATCAAACCAACTAAAACGACTTCATCTTATAATTTACTCTCGTATTTTCAAGCAGTACTTGGCTTCCATCCATCAGTTTATGCGTGCAGATTACGAGGCAATGGCCGTGATGCATCACACCTCCGATCCTGCTGCGCTCTTTTGTGATCCTGGCAATCAACCATAGGGCGTGCAGGGATCCTGATTCCTTTGACAACAACTGACTTGGGTTATTGGAAGTCTTTATTTAACTGTCAGTGACCCAAACTTCAAGAATATTCCATGAAAGATTTTCTTATGCCGGTGTATTTGTAGCATCTATGTGCATCTAGAACCCCCCCTCCCTCTCTTCCCTCTCTCTACATTAAGCATTGTGTCATGTCATCGTAAAAGTTGGTCAAACGGACCAGCTAGAAACTTTGATTCTCCACATCATTCTGCAAAATCGTCCCATTGAGGAACTCGGTCCCCTTCTTCAGGACCCGGGCACGACCAGGATGCAGTGTCGGCGCAGGATCATTATCAACTGTACCGTTCGCGTAGATGATGCCATTCCATGCCGAAGCCAGCTGGCCAGCGTCCAGAGTCTGCACGGCCGAGTTGGCTCCGGGAAGAAGGGGTGACCGTTTCTGGTGGATGTCGCAATTTTCGCTAATCATGTACAAGTTCATACCAATCGCGAAAGTGTACATCTCAGCACTGAGTTGGTCCCAACTCCACTGGTCCGCGATTACTACGCCTATGTAATCGATTAATACGGCAGTTGGCCAGGACTCTGGGCTCATGTTGTTGACGCCCATCCAGTAGAGGGCGGGATTGGTAGGAAGGATGCCGATGTTCTGAATACTCAGGGCGGTGGTGGTGATGGCATCCGCGCTGACCAGCCACTGGCTGATCAGAAACTGATCATTTTTGAAGTCGCCGCTTCTGCCGACTGTCTTCCAGCCGGCAACTTGGTCATTTGCCATGTTCTCAGTGTCAGGCAAGTTGGACCAGTGGTCCCAAACATCCATCATCGAGTTTTTGTAAATACCGTCCGGGACGGAGTCTTGAGGCACATCCGGTTTCAAATTACCGTTCAGAAGAAAAAGAACACAGCCCTTCCCGCTATTCTGATCCATAAAGTAGGACGCTTTCTGTTTGTTGAACTTGGTGTTGAGATCAAGATTTCCACATCGGTTGTTAATACCCTTCAACTTGCTGAAAAAGTTGTTGACAATGTCAGCGGTCCAGTAAATTGGGCCTGCAGTGGGTATATCGAGGATGCCGTTCAGGTATCGAACGCGGAAAAATATGACTTCGCCGGGGTTTTCGGCTGTGAATTGGTTGACCTCGTTGACGACATCATCAAGAGACTCTCCCGTGTTGCCAATAACCACCTTGGCCAGCTCATCATTGACGTGCATAGTCCAAAAGCTATACGAGTCTTGACTGCCCACCTTGTGAACGCTGCCAACACGAAGATCGAACAACCTGGCGCCGGCGCGTAGTTGATTGTAAATGTTCAGGCCCTGCGTCTGCGTGTTGACTTCAGTACCAATGGAGCCAATTTTGCCGCTAATCCTGCTCATTCCTGAATCGTGTGTGGCAGGCATCACAATGTGCTGCATCCGTCTATCTTTGATGACATCGTATATTCCCTTCATCCAGTTGCCCCGGCCGTGTCGAAGAGAAGCGGTAAACCCGTAGGAATCACTCCCAGTAATAACCAAGGTAACTGCCGTTTCTTTACCGGGGTCCAAATACTCGCGCTGACCGAGACCCATACCAGACAAGTCAATAATGGTTCGGCGGGGATACGAGTCCGGGATATGAGTTCTAGCTCGAATCTCGAACCTCTTATTTGTTCCTTGGATGGTGTAGTAGGCTTCGCCGCCGTCGTCTACTGGGTTCTTGCCAACGTCCTTTGTGTATTCTGCTGTATTCTGACGAGCACGACCTTGGGGGATATCGTCCCAATCAAAAGTGTCCATCTGATAAGAGTGCGTGCGGCTTCGATCAAGGACGAATCGGTGAGGGGTGAGATTGACAATAGTGATGTATTGTTTCGCCGGAAAACCAATTTCACGGAGAGGAATCAATGCCCAGGGCATGTGGCTTCCGGCCTTTGGCGCCTCCGAGCTATACGTCCTGTCTTCCTTTTGGCATGCATCTTGAACAGCTCTATTGCATTTCGCAAGTTGCCTTGGGGCTGGTGTAGCTGTCGTGGATCGAGTGAACAAGAGGAAGGACACAAGACCAGCGACAAAGGTGAGCAACAATCGAGTTTGCTTCATTCTGAGTCTTGAAGAGGTCAATCCAAATGGACCAAGCTTAGAACAAAAAACGTTGCAATCTCGCCTGGGTCACAACTACGAAGCAGCATATTTCTAGTTTAGAGCCACAAGAATCACAGGGACCTTAAATTGTAATATTCTTTCCCTCATCCCCGCCAAGATTGTCTTTGCTTTCTACCCATGCGCGTGTTCAGACGGTTCTATTGCCATGCCACCCGTCTGAGCTCAGATGATGTGCTTGCTAGCCTCGTGAGCTGGAGACTCCTGGGCGGCAAATTGGCCTCTAAGTCGTCCCCGCCGTGGGCACAACGCGCCGTAGCGTGGAGGCGACATTGATCTTTGCGAAATATGGTAGTTGAGATTACTTTTCAGCAATCTTACTGGCCAAGCGGTCAACGGGGTGGCTGATCCATGGACGAACGACTCAGGAACATGGAAGATGGATTGGGCAGAGGCTGTCTATCGACTAATCCCAGAGCGGGGCAGTGGCCGAATGAGCGTCAGGCAGCGTCAGGGAGCATCTCCAAGATTCTGAGACGATGACACCCTTTGGCAGGCGGCCACACCAAGGGTCTGCCTGCCATCAGAAGGCGATATCAGCTGGCCGCTCGCTGGGCGATGACAACCAATATCCGCTTGCGATAGAAATGCTGCTCCAGACGGATACCGCCCATCCATAATTTTGTACTGCAATGTACCATTGATGCACCAGAATTCCAGACTAGTGCTTTGCTGATCAACAGACCCGGAAGAGTGAGCAAGTTGGCCAAGCGGGGAAATCGAGAGTGTGCATGTCTTGAGCATGCCTTGAAGCGTTCCATGCGCTCAAGTGTGATCTGATGGTCGGTTTTAGCGTCTAGCTGATAGACAAGGGATCCTGCAAAACCGGTACGAAGCTGTTTGGTCATTTCCAATCCTGCACTAGGCTTGACGAAAGGACTCGCGAGGTCGGATAGCCGTATAACGAGCATGACGAGTTTGCATATTGATGTTGTATCTTGGGGGAGGGCGAAGACGAGAGATGCCACTCTTGGTTGTCTATCCGTAGTTGGACTGGGAAAACCGAGCACGTGCGGACCGACCGGTGGGTGTTGGCCTGGACCAGCTGACCATGCAGCATTCGCTTGTTTGGAACAAGCACCCCTATCATGCGCATACCCTGGTGCAAATGAGTCAGACAATGAAGACGACGACGCAGACGAAAGTACGAAATCTCAGAAGGTAAGAGAAAAGACAAGGCCTGTAAGAAACTATTTACGATGAGAAAAAGAGCACTTGAGATTACTCGTCGATAACGCTGCTGTATTGGTGTTGCCTGAAGCTGCAAATTCTGATCCTTTTGGAGGAAGGAGCACCCTTCGCACTGATTCTAAGGCTCTGAGCGTTGCATATTGCTGCATTTTTGAATTTAAGGAAGGCGCAACTGGCTTCCAGACGACATTAGCTCGGGTTTTTCTCCTGGACAAAATTGAACATCATCCTTGGCTAGGTTTGTATTCATGCTACATACGTTACTGATGAATGCCCAACTTGCTTCTTCCTTCCAGGGCTTCAGACAAAAAGCGTGTCTGGCACAAAATTCGTCGAATGAATGTTTTGGATCGGCCTGTTCGGGGTGCGCACCAGTGCAGGTAATTGCCCCCAATCAATGTGGAATCTCAGTTCGTTGAAAGGTCTTACATTAAAATCTTTCTCATCATCAAGACACATCTGGACTCAGACCACCCCCCCCCCCATCGAAGAATGGGATTTTCCTCTCCCAAGTATAGTAACACCGGTGCAAAAAACCTTTGCGCGGTTTCCACTGATTAATTCTCTTTCCCAACTTTCTCCTCAAATGATAGGTAATGTCGTTGAAAAAGATATTGAACACCCAAGTAGCTTCAAGCTAATGCATCGCAGGTTCGGAGTGGGTCACGATGACTCGGCATACTACACTTTTAGCCATGTCGTGACATTCATAATCAATAATTCAATGTGCGCTCTCTGCAACGGAAAAAGAGAAACGAAAAGCTCATCCTTTCCCACAAAGATTCCGAGAACTCGCGGGAGGGTCTTCGAAGACTAAATGTATCACTTACTGTAGGCTTTGCCTACCAACGTTCAACATCATCTTGCATGCTTTGGCAATTACCGAGAGCGGATGCGCAACCAAAGCAAGGAGTATGACAAGATGAAGAGTCTGTCTTTGGAAGTCAATGTCTGAATAAACATTGTTTTCTGTCAATGACATCAGGGGGTGATAATGTGGCCATGAAGCTGCTGGTAAGCCAGAACTCATTGCATTTAGATGCCGACTATGAGGCAAACAGGCAAACACAGCCGTGTAA